TACTGAAACGATATGAACTTAATGAAGAAGGTTTTCGTCGGAAGTTCAGAGGAGTCAAACATGACACTGGAGAAACTGTATTTCAGTTTGTGGCATGCCTGTGGCAATATTTCCCCAAATGGACTGACATGCCATGTGTGAAAATACTTTTGAGGGACTGGCAGACCTATTAGTATGGGAACAGTTCATGACCACATGTTCAACTGACATGTCACAGTTTTTAAAGGAGAGAGCACCAAAAAATGTAGACAAGATGATCAAGCTAGCAGAACAGTATATGGAAGCCCATGGAGGTAGTATAACTAGCAAGTTCAAGAATGTCCAGATAAAGTTGAAACAAGTAAAGGCTGACTAGAAGCAGGAATTTACCAAAGGTGACAGGAGATTAATAGACAGAAGGAAAAAAGATATTATGTTTGTTATAAAATGGAACACATTGCACAAGAGTGCAAATCCATTACCAGCAAACAACAGCAGAAACCTCCACATAAAGCAGCTGGAGCCATTTACAAAGACAGTGCTGGTAAGAAACAAGAAAAGAGTGACTGGCATTATGGATGCTGCTGCAAGAAGAAAGAGAATTAAGACTACTTGTAAAATTCAATACAAGAAAACATGATTGATCAGTGCATGACTAATGGTCGGTTCAAATTAGCAAATGGATCAACAATGCCAACAGTGATGGAGCTTGTGACAAATATCAAGAGAAGCCAACAAATCATAATATGCCAATATGTGAAGGCTATGTTGGGGATAAGAAAGTGAAGGTTCTACAAGACACTGGGCGCAGTAGTGCAGCAGTGAGAATCAGTTTAGTATCCGATGATCAGATGACAGGCAAGGTATGCTTGTGTGTGCTAATTGATGGAACAGCGAGAAAATTTCCCATAGTAAAAATAAAGGTGGATACCCCATATTATGTAGAAGACCTTGAAGCCATGTGTATCAAGGAACCAATACATGACTTGGTGATAGGAAATATACCAGGTAGTAGAAACTTTGAGGAACTAGACAGAAAGAAGATTGATGAAATATCTGCTGTCACCACAAGAGCTCAAGAAAAGAAGAGCAAACAAAACAACAAGCTCCTGCAAGTGTCAAAAGGCAATATCCCGAATTTAGGTTTGCAGGAACTGAAGGAAGCACAGAAGAAAGACCCTTCACTGCAGAAACTTTGGGTCAATGCCCAGAAGAAAGTTGAGCACAAAACAAAGGGGAAAGATACTTATAGAATAGAGGACCAGAAGTGAGTTCTATACCAAATCTATCAAGGTACTTATACTGGGGAAGTTAAACAGCTCATAGTACCAACAGAATATTGGACTCAAGTGATGATGTTGACTCAAGAATCAATTGTGGGAGGATACCTAGGAACAAAGAAAAGAGCAGACAGGATCACCAGTAACTTCCATTGGCTGGGAGTAATTGGAGATGTGAGTAGATTCTGCAGGTCATGTGACATCCGCCAAAGGACAATAACTAGAGGAAAGGTAGCCAAAGTGCCATTGGGGGAGATGCTTCTCATAGAAGAGCCGTTCAGCAGAGTAGCTGTAGACTTGATTGGGCCACTAATGCCTGTGTCTGAGGAGGGCATCCAGTATATGCTAACCGGAGTCGACTATGCAACACATTATCCAGAAGCAATGGCACTGCCAAAGATAGAGACAGAGAGAGTAGCAGAAGCCCTGCTGGATATATTTTGCAGAGTAGGCTTTCCGAGAGAAATCCTGAGTGATAGAGGGACCCAGTTTACTTCAGAACTGATGCAGGAAGTGTGCAGACTCATCAGTACTCAGCAACTCTTTACCACTCTGTACAATCTTAAATTTAATGGACTTTGTGAGAGAGTCAATGGAGTTTCAAAGAGTATGCTAAAGAAGATGTGCCAAAAGAGACCACATGACTGGAACAGGTACTTACAGGTATTATTATTCGCTTAGAGAAGTTCCACAAGTAAGTACAGGATTTTCACCCTTCGAGTTACAGTATGGAAGAACAGTATGAGGTCTGATGCATATATTGAAAGAGCTATGGATGAGAGAAGAAGAGTCAGAAGTAAGGAACACATACCAGTATGTGTTAGACCTCAGAAACTGACTGGAGGAAACATGTCAACTTGCTCAACAGAATTTGTATGCAGCTCAAGGTAGTCAGAAGCATTTTTATGACAAGAAGGCCAAGGATCGATTTTTAAAAATTGACAAATGGTCTTAGTTCTGCTTCCCACAGACCACAACAGAAAGGACACCATCCAAGTGTTACATTGGATATTCTGTGCTGGAGTTTGTTGGACATAAAGTGGGGGACTGACAAATAGCCATGGAAAACGAAAAGGTAACCCGCATACAAGATACACCAGCTCCAATGA